ACCTTACCGTTAAATGTGTAAGCCCTGCCCCAATTTGCCTTCCCAAAATGCAGCACCTCCAATTTATCTAAATTAAACTCCATCTGCCATTCCTCGGTCTATTGGCCCATCTTATCAAGATCCCATTGTACTCGGAGGCAATCTTCTTCACTGTCCGCTACACCTCCAAATTTTGGTATCATCTGCAAGCTTACTAACCATAACTCCTCGGTTCACATTCAAATCATTTAAATAATCGTTGCACCTTATTTGAGAAAATGCAACAGGGATAAATTTAGCAACTAAACCAACATCAGCCGAACATCAGTCAAAGAAATTTCTTGATGACAGTAGTCAGGAAAGAATAATTGCCATTTGATAAAGTATGGTTAAATCAGTAAATCCACACTGACCTTTAAAAGGAGAAAAAACATTACACCTATGTTCTTCAATAAAGTAATGGAGAAGGTGGATGAGGATAATATGCTTTATGTGAACATGGAACTCCAAAAGATATTTGACAAAGCACACACAAAACTGAAGCTTAAAAGAATGCATACAAAAATGGCTAAGAGAAAGAAAGCAGAAGGCAGTGATGAATTAAGGAGTAAATAGGTGGAAATTAGACGAAGATGTACAGAGCATTTCCTCACAACTCAGTATTCAAGTCGATATTCCTTTACATACATAGATAGTAAACAGGAAGGGAAGACTATATAGCTTTCCTGTTACTCCAGTCAGATCATCGACCTCAACATCACTTTCTCACATTATCCGCAAATCCCTTAGAAACCAAATAAATATCGATCTCAGCGTTGAATGAGCATCCACAATCCCGCAATTTCCAATCTTCTGAATGAAAAAAACTGCTCCTCTTTTCAATGCCAAATAATCAATCCATCATCTTGACACTATGTCTAGACTCTCCAGCCTGGTTAGAAGCTAGGAGCAATGAAGGCCTGAAGAGATTTTCTGTTCTACATAGTTCATTAAAATAGCATAACGTGGAGGTGCCAGTGTTGGACTGGGTCGACAAGGTCAGAAGTCACATGACACCAGGTTCATTTGAAATTACAAGCTTTCAGAGCACAGCCCCCTTGTCAGGTGAAGTGACTTCAACTGACAAAGGAGCACGCTCCAAAAGCTTGTGATTTCAAATAAACCTTGTGGACTATAACCTGGTGTCATGTGACTTCTGATATTAATATATCATGAATAGGTACAGAAAATAAATCAAAATGCTAATAAAATGCTGGACTTTATACCTGGAGGATGAAGTACAAGAGGATAGGCTTTATGCTTCTAGTTATACTACACCCTGGTTAGACCTCACCTGGAATACAGAGAACAATTTTAGGCACCATATCTTATGTAGGATATATTGACATGAGTGAGATGGCAGTGTCACATAAATTTACAAGAATGAAACCTGATCTTCAAAGACTAAATATGAATATATATAATTAATAGGAAACTTGATACATATTTTCCCTAAACATTAGTTTGCATTAGTTAGGAAGTAGTATTTTGGGAATCCCAATTCAGTTCACGGAGCGTCAAGGCTGACCTAACTCCAAAGAGATGTACAAATCAAAGAGAGGCATAAAAAAGGTTGAATGCAAAGCCATGCCTGTCCCATAGTGTATATTTTTTTAAAAATCAGAGCTCAAGACCCTTGTTCCACAGCACAATCGTATGCTCAAGGTAGTTCAACCCTCACGTCCCATCATTTTTCTAATGCAAGGAGAATATGCGTCTAGCATAATGCTCAAACTGGGTACTCCTGAATCTTATTTTCTCAGTTGTGAGGTAGTTCTTTTGAAAAGGAGATATTATATTGTATGAAAAGGATATAGGAGGCACTGATGAGGGTTCTGAGAAGATCCAGAGAGGTTGATACCAGAAATGCACGTGGTGATGACCAGGGTCAAAACCCTGAAGCACTATGGACATTTTTCTTTTCCCCCCAAGAACGTGGGCTGATACAGCCAAAATTCATTGATGTAAATTAAGTGGCCTTCTCTGGAAGGAGAGAGCGCAATTCAGAGTGTCACATCTAAAGAAACTCAAGCTAAGATCCTTCAAAGGGTCAGAAGGGAAGTCAAAACAGACCGGATGGTGATCTCTTGAAACTGCAAAGATAGTAAGGAGCTGGCTCAACAGCAAACCACCCATTATAGACTGCAGACCCATTTCTGTGTTTGTTTCCTTTGAAAAATATGGTTTTTAACCAAAGTGTGGTATGTTGGCCATCTGAGCAGCCTGAATCGATTTTACAGAGCAAAGTTACAAATCAGCCAGTACAGCAGACTTTCACCCCACTGGTTTGTCCTGGATTTAAATAAAAGACCAATGTGTAATCCACAGTGCTACTCAATTCTGTGCTCTCTTCTGCAGACATTGACAGGTTCCACGTATTTTCAGCACTGACCATTTTTAATGATATGCCAAATGTGCAACAAAACGTGACTCAGTTTGTTAATATATTATAACTGACTCTCCATTAATACCTTACAGATTGCATTTAAAAATTTGTAACCAGATTTTAAGAATTTGGCTGCAATATAAAGATAGGTTTATAATTGGATTGGATATTCTCCAAGTCTAAACTCAGAGACAGTCAAATTTAGATCGAGAAATGAATGGAGATTTGCACAGGACTATTAGAGAGATTGTGTCCCTTTTTGAAGTACTTGGTTTAAAATTAGAACGTTTTCAAGAATAGCGTCTAACAAAAAAAAACACCGGCTGATGATCTGAGACCTCAGTGCATGATAGAAATTATGTAGGTCCATTGTTTAATTGTCAGATTAACTGATCTTGACCACAGCACTGGTAGAAACTTTTGATTTGCATTGATTTGCTATTGTCACATATACCTAGGTACAGAGAAGTTTTATTTTGCATGCAGATCATTGGATGATTGAACACAGAATGATTGTAAGAAATGTGAACATAAGATCTACTCATAGAGTCACCCTGTGTTGGCAACCTGTAAGCCTCAGTGTCACTTGGCTAGGATAAAATACATGGAAAAGCCAATACAACCACTTTAGTTCCACTCAAATCAAGGGAGTGCACAATGTAAATACCAGATGATAGAAGAATCAGTTTGGCAATTGTGGCTGAGGTTGTAGACATGCTCATCGAGCCAGTGGGTTTGGTTGCAAATGTTTCATCACCCTGCTAGGAAACATCGTCAGTGCGCCTCAGGTGAAGCGTTGCTGTGTAGACAGACAAGTGAGACACTGACAACGAAGGATTCAAATTCGGCTGGGACAACTCATCAATAATCACACAAGCCAAACAGGGACACGCCAGGGAATTCCTGGAGGCCTGGTATTCTAACCGGAACTCCATCAAAAACGTATTGAATTAGACCCGGTGTACAAACCACTGAGAAACAGAACCGGAAGTGGTACCAAACACCCCAACAAACTGGGGCAAATAAATAACAAGTGGGACAGAACACCAACGCTTCACCGGAGGCGCACTGAAAATGTTACTTAGCAGGGTGACAAAACATTTGCAACCAAACCTACCTGCTTGGCGAGCATATCCACAACCCGAGCTACAAATCTTCTGGCAATTATGGCCTTTCCCTTTTTCTCCAAAAGCATAGTTTCCTTCTTGTCTATTTAGTCAGAACAGGACAATGACTTGCAACAGCTTCACTTTCGAAACAAAACCTATCATCTCTGGCCCCCAAGGATCTATCCTGAGGATCTTCCTAATTCCCATGTACGTGCTGCCCCTTAGTGACATCAGCCAAAAACAGAGTCACTACCCACATGTAGGCTGGCAACAACCAGGGTTCCCTCACCGCCACCTCTCACAACCCCTCTGCTGGCTTTAAATCATCAGGCAGTTTGACAGGTATAGTTGACACCAAAGTCAACTTCCTACAACGTTTTTTTTCCATTCATTCACAGGACATCGATGCCAGTAGCTAGATCAGCATTTATTGTTCATCGCCAACTACCCTCAACATGGTAGGAAGCTTCCTTCTTCAACCATGGCATTCATAAGGGATTAGGTAAACTCAAAGCTAACAGGAAGGGAGCTCCAGGATAGGAAGGTGCTGTCGAAGGAACCTCGGTGGGTTCCTCCAGTGCACCCTGAAGATGGTTGACACTGCAATCGCTGTGCATCAGCGGTGAAGGGATTGAAGGTTGAAGGTGGTGGACGGGGTGCTAATCGAGCAGGCTGCTATGTCATGGAATACGGTGAGCTTCATGCCCGTTATTTCAGCTCACTCAACCAGACAAATGAAGAGTATTCCATTACTCTACTGACTTGCATCTTGTACGTAGTGAACAAGCTTCGGGGAGTCTGGCGGCAAGTTATTTGCTACAGAATTCCTAGTATCAGACCTACTTTTGTAGCCACAGTATTTATTTAGCTGATCCAGTTCAATTTCTGATTAGTGGTAACCCCCAGGATATTGATAATGAGGGCTTCAGTGATGGTATGCCATTGATTGTCAAGGAAAGATCACTAGAATCTCTCTTATTGGAGGTGGTCATGGCCTGCTACTTAAGCAGACAAGTAACATTTGTCCCACACAAAAGTCCAAGCCTGGATGTTGTCCAGGTCTTCCTGCAAATGGATACGGACTGCTTCTATGTCTGAAGAGTCATGAATGATGCTGAACATCATGCAGTCTTCAGTAAACATCCCCACTTCTGACCAGAGTCATAGGGGTCTATAGCATGGAAGTAGGCCCTTCCACCCAATCTGTCCATGCCATCTAGTTTTGACAGCAATAGAGTCAAGATGGAAGAAAAGTCAATGACAAAGCAGATAAGGAGCTGTCTGGGGTTCTTGTAGTACAGTTGTAGAATCCTCACCTCTGGGAAGATGATTAACCTCCAAAAACTATAGTCACTATTTTGTGCTAGGTATGACTGCAACTAGTCAAAAACTTTCTCCCTGTTTCCCATCTACTCTAGTTTTGCTAGGGCTCCTCGATGCTATACTTGGACAAATGCTGCCTTAATGTCAAGGGCAATTATTCTCACCTCACTCGTGAAGTTCATCTCTTTTGCCCACATCTGCACCAAGGCTGTGATGGCACTCATTAACGCCATTACTAAAACCATCTATTTCCACTTCTTGTAGCATCACCCACCTCCTCTCTGCCTAGGCTCATCTGCTGTTGAAACCCTCAGTTATGGCAGAATCTGTGGAGACAGAAAGAGTTAATGTTGATTCCGACATTTCTTCTTCAGAACCATGAGTTCCAAAGAAAGTCATTGTCCTCAAATGTAAATTGTTTCTCTTTCATTTGCTGACACTGATGCTGCTAGACACCTGCTGGGTCTCTCCAGAACTTTCCCTTTTTATTTCAAATCTCCAGTAACCGCAATATTTGCTTTTACCTTCAATTATGCCTTTCTTACCTCTCTAAGATTTTGGTCAGGAGTGCACAGGAATAGTCAATCTCTCACGTTCCACCCTCAAACTTCAGCTCCTCCAAATATAAACATCTATAATGTAACTTACATCAAACTCCATTTGTCCATTGCCTCGGACCCCACTGACTTAAACTGGCTCCCTGGTTAAGCAACACCATCTTAAAATTGTCATCCTTATTTCCAGTTTTCTCCATGGCCTTGCTTTTCCAATCTTTGCAATCCTCGTCAACCGAACAAACTTCCAAGTTACAATATCAGCTTCTTGAGCATCCCTGATTTTAGTCACTCCATCACTTAGCACTCATGGGGACTTGTACCATACATCATTAAAGCCTTAGGCAACGGACTTCCCTGTGTCAAGATTTCCATATTTCCTCATGCAACTCATTATCCAATTCTAGTCAGTAACATTCTTATGAAATGCCTCAGGAGAATTAGAGTACAATAAATGACAACACAAACACAAGTTGTTGATGTTAACAACTTTCTGGACTCATCTATTAGTAAAACGATGTTTGGGTGTCATTGGAACTGTACAGAAGAGATAACCTCACCAGCCATTTGGGGCGTAGTGAATAATATGAAATGGGAATTTTACAAGTACGGCAGCATCATAGCTTGTGTGTTTTAGACATAGACCAGCACAGCACAGTACAGGCCCTTGGGTCCACTATGTTGTGCTGACCTATTATCCTACTCTAAGATCAAACTAACCTGCATACTCTTCATTTTACATCTCCCCTATACCTTCCTCCAATCACTTTAAAATTATGCCCCCTCATGATAGCCATTTCCGCCCTGGGAAAAAGTCTCTGGCTATCCACTCTATCTATGCCTCTCATCATCTTGTACACATCTATCAAGTCACCTCTCATCCTTCTTCGCTCCAACGAGAAAAGCTTTAGCTCCCTCAACCTTTCTTCATAAGGCCTGCCCTCCAGTCCAGGCAGCATTGTGGTAAATCTCCTCTGCACCCTCTCTAAAGCTTTCACATCCTTCCTATAATGAGGCGACCAGAACTGAACACAATATTCCAAGTGTGGTCTAACCAGGGTTTTACAGAGCTGCAGCATAACCTCGCAGTTCTTAAACTCATTCCCCTGCCAATGAAAGCCAACACACCATATGCCTTCTTAACAACCCTATCAACTTGGGTGGCAACTTTGAGGCATCTACGGACGTGGACTCCAAGATCCCTTTGTTCCTTCACACTGCTAAGAATCCTGCATTAATCTTGTATTCTGTATTCAAATTCATTCTTCCAAAATGAATCACTTCACACTGTTCTGGGTTGAATTCCATCTGTCACTTCTTTGCCCAGCTCTGCATCCTGTCAATATCCTGCTGCAACGTACAACAGCCCTCCACACTATCCACAATTCCACCAACCTTTGTGTCATTGGCACACTCACTGAGGAAAGGTCACCAGACCCGAAACATTAACTCTGTTTTTTCCTTCACAGATGCTGCCAGACTTGCTGAGCTTTTCCAGCAACTTTCTTTTTGTTACTAACCCACCCTTCCACTTCCTCATCCAAGTCATTTATAAAGATCACAAAGAGCAGAAGTCCCAGAACAGATCCCTGTGGAACACCACTGGTCACCGAGGTCCAGGCTGAATATTTTCCATCTACTACCACCCTGTCTTCTATTGGACAGCTAATTCTGTATCCAGACAGCCAAATTTCCCTGAATCCCATGCCTCCTTACTTTCTGAATGAGCCCACCATGGGGAACTTTATCAAATGCCTTCCTAAAATCCATATACACATCTACTGCTCTACCTTCATCAATGTGTTTTGTCACATCCTCAAAGAATTCAGTGAGGCTTGTGAGGCATGACCTGCCCCTCACAAAGCCATGCTGACTATTTCTAATCAAACTGTGCTTTTCCAAATAATCATAAATACTGTTTCTCAGAACCCTCTCCAGTAATTTGCCCACCACAGAAGACAGACAGACTGGTCTGTAATTCCCAGGGTTATCCCTATTCCGTTCCTTGAACAAGGGAATAACATTTGCCACTCTCCAATCATCTAGTTTTAAATCTGTGCCACTATGGCTGATCACTGAGATTGCCAAGTATTACCTTCACTGTTCAGCAAACCAGAAAGAAATGTTTTGCACAAACATGATCAAGTTGTCTTTGCTTACGCAGGATACCTCACTCTTGGCATGACTCACATCCTCCTCATAATGGTTTTGTCTCAATACTGTGTCTGAACTACCGTATACACAAGAAGAGATATTGGACCCTGGCACTTCCAGTCATTTGAGGAAACGGTAAATTCAAAAGGCAGGAACCTGATGAACCTAACAATATAAACACTTGCCCATTGGAAATCCCGACAGACCGAGTATTTCCAGTATTTCTGTTTTCCTTAGTCGTTTAGTATGCGTGCTTGGTACCGTCACTTAAAAATCAATACACAAATTTTAGCTGCCAGCATTCTAGCAAACGGAAAGGAAAAGGCCAAGGGCCACAGTCAAAAGGAAAATGAAAATAAGGAAGCACTCGGTTTGACAGTGCGGATATTGTTTAAAAGGGGAAAGAAAGCAGACTTGTCAAAAGCTACAATTCTAACTAGTATTAACTAACGGTTCTCCACAAGGTCTCTCATTTGGATAAGTACATGAATAGGAAAGATTTAGAAGCATATACACCAAACGCAGGCAGGTGGGACCAATTTAGTTTAGGAACAGGTTTCTTTCTGGTTTGTCGAAAAGCGAGGGTAATACTTAGCAATCTCGGTGATCAGTCGGAATACCACAGATTTAAAACACGCAAGTTATAAAACTGCTGTGTTTTCTAATATTCACGTTTCAGATTCATTCCCCACCCACCCCACCACAGAATTGTTGGCGGGGTTATCCTCAGGTGATGGGAGAAATACTAAATGAATATTACGCGTCAGTTGGATTAAAGGGTCTGTTTCTACGCTGAATGACTCTAAACTTGCGCCCCTGGCGTGAAATCGTTACAATCAAATCACATCAACGTTCAACTCTCAACTTCAGTCAGCCCACTCCCAGCAGCCGTCCTTCACTCACCTGCCCACTGCACCAAAACCCTGAGTTGCCTCACACCCTTTCCACTGCACCGCGCCACTGACTAAAGCCAGCGCAAGCTCGTTCCGATTTCGTGCCTAGACTGGATTATCCCAGTCACGTGACAATGACCAACTTCTCAGCCGCTACTGCTGCTGCTTCCGCCCTTTGCTCAGACAGAGCCAAATACTTAAAGTGGCATACCGTGGCTGTGCAGATTTTTTAAAAAAGGTACTTTCTTCTGAAATGGAAATTCCGGTTCTTCAACGTGCCATTGTTTGATGACGCAGTTCGTTGCACAGTTGACAGTCTTTTTCAGAAACAGTAAGAATAAAACTTGTTTTCTTTCTGAGATGGTAGGAACTGCAGATGCTGGAGAAGAAGGGTCTCGGCCCGAAACGTCAGCCTTCCTGCTCCTCTGATGCTGCTTGGCCTGCTGTGTTCATCCAGCTCTACACCTTGTTATCTCTTGTTTTCTTTCTGCCGGCTTCTCACGAAACATCAAATTTCCCAATTGGATTGAACAAATGTATTTAGTTACTTCGTGTGTATTATGCATTTTCATGCAAAACAAAATAAACGAACCACAATCCAATTACTATTTAACGAAAAGGGAAATAATTACGTCGACGTCAATGAAAACTGATTATTATGGCAGAACTTCAACATATATGTATAGAACAGCTGTAAAGTGGGCACTTGAATAGAGCAATACACATTTGTCACTGAGTCAAAAGATGCAAAATTAGACCAAAGTTTAGTCATAGTGCTAAGATTTAAAAAATGCCTTAAAAGATAGAGACAGAGGAGGAAACTTAAGAGTTGAGGGCTTTGAAGGTAGGGTCAACGAGCAGTGAAACAATACGAAAAGGGAATGTTCAATAAACCAGGGTTAAGGAGAGCACATATATTGGATGGCCCATGGAGAGGTTTGAAAACAAAGATAAGTTTAAATTTGAGGCATTGCTTAACCAGGAACTCGTTTATTCACCATCTGCAGGTACAACAAGTAATTAGGAAGGCAAATGGAATTTTGTCCTTCATTGCTAGAGGGATTGAAATAAAAAGCAGAGAGATTGCAGCTGTACAAGGTGCTGGTGAGGCCACACCTGGAGTACTGTGTGCAGTTTTGGTCTCCTTACTTGAGAAAGGATGTATTGGCACTGGAGGGGGTGCAAAGGAGGTACACTAGGTTGATTCCGGAGTTGAGAGGGTTGGCTTATGAGGAGAGACTGAGTAGATTGGGATTATATTCATTGGAATTCAGAAGATTGAGGGGGGATCTTATAGAAACATATAAAATTATGAAGGGAATAGATAAGATAGAAGTAGAGAGGATATTTCCACTGGCAGGTGAAGCTAGGACAAGAGGGCATAGCCTCAAGATTACAGGGAGCAGATTTAGGACTGAACTGAGAAGGAATTTCTTCACCCAGAGGGTTGTTAATCTATGGAATTCCTTGCCCAGTGAAGTAGTTGATGCTACTTCAGTAAATGTTTTTTAAAAAAAGTAGATTTTTTTTGAACAATATATGAATTAAGGGATACAGTGAGAACGCGGGTAAGTGGATCTAAGTCCACGAAAGGATCAGCCATGATCTTATTGAATGGCGGAGCAGGCTCGAAGGGCCAGACGGCCTACTCCTGCTCCTAGTTCTTATGTTCTTATGCATGTGTAATAAAGTACATTATTTGTGTAATGTTGCAGATATCTAGTTCATATTTTATGTATCACTTGAATAGTTGGAGTCATGTTGATTTAAGAAGTTAACAACATGCAAAGTCAGATCAAAAACATTAGGTCTGCTTGCCAAGCTGGCTATATGGGCTAGAAATTTCCCAGCCACTGAAGATTATAGAATCCCTACAGTGCAGATAAAGGCCAGTCAGCCCATTGGGTCTACACCAACCCTCTGAAGAGCACACCACCCACCCCATAACCCCACATTTATCGTAGCTAATCCACCCAGCCTGCACATCCCTGGGATGGCCTTGGTGAGAAAGTTGGGAAAATAGGATAAGATTGGCAGTAAGGAAATTTCCAATGACGAGAGCAAAACATTTTCCAACCAAGTATGAATTGAGCGGTGACAGGCCTATTCATATCCATTTGTAGCATCTCATTATTAGTTAATCTCACCTCATTAAATGCAGTTTCACATTCTCCAAATGCCAGATAGAATTTAGTTGACAACAATTCCCGGCATGCAAGTTAGAGTGGATACCTGATGAGTCCAGCTTGCTACTTGTTCCTCCAGGTTTCCAACTTGGTCCCCAGTCAGCAACATCTCAGGGCATACTCAATAGACAATGACTGCACACATCTCCCATCTTTGGATGTTGGCATTGGACTCGTACTAGCCTTACTGCATCTGAACCAGTTATAATACGGTTTTGCGCTTCATTGCTGCACTTTGGAATGCACTGCACCTCTCGTTAAAATGCTGCTAGCAGAATACTGTGCATAGGGACAGGTAACTATCTCATGGTTTTGACCAGGGTACATTTCACAGCTCCTCACTTGTACACTTACTTTTTGCCTGCTTGAATGCTCACAGCCCCTCAACCAGAGCTTAAAGACTTGAAGTTCTTCTGTCTTGCCATGTCTTTCAGAGTACACAAAGCCAGGCAGCTTCTCATGGTGGTCAGTCATCAAAGGGATGGACATGTTGTTGTTTTGTCATTGTGATACATCAATCTCAAACCTGCATGATGTACCAAGAACACATACAGCAAACACACTGCACATGCATCAACCAAATGGCCATGTATTGAAATCTAAGGGATGTAGTCTACCGTCAAGCCAAAGAAGGCATCCTTCAGTCAGGGGACTAACAGTAACAGCTCCAGTAAGTCAACAGCAACATTCGCTACCTATCCAGGGCTTGTGCTCAGTTGTTGGCCATTCACGGTAGTCACGGTCAGGGGTTCCATACTTCTACAGTCTGGGGAGTGGGCCATAGTCAACTGTATGGGTCCAATGCAACCAGGCCCAGGAGTAGAGAGAGGTCACTTGGGTAGCTTCACAGAGATCAATTAGGGATTTGATCAGTCATCAGTTGAGGCTGTCCGTCAATTTCTGCCTAAATAGTGTGATGATACTGAAAGTGCAGCCATATTTCACCTGTAGCAATTAATAGAGTGTAGACAAAGGAATACAAAACACAGGAGCAGAAGTAGAACATTCAATCAATCATGGTTTGCCGCTCATTAAGATTGTGGCTGATCATCCTTAACTCCACTTTCCTACCTTATCCTCATAATCTTTTATTCCTTCGCTGACCAAAAATCTGTCTATTTCAGCGTTGACTCTACCCAACAGCCTGACTTTGACAGAGCTTTGTTCTAATATTTTTCTACTTACAGAGATTAAACTAACTGCCTACAGTTGCCTGTTTTATGTGTTGCTCCCTTTTTGAATAAGGCAGTTGGCAGTTTTTCAATCCTCTGAAATTTTTCCACAATCTCAGGATTTTTGAAAGATTACTATTAGTAGCAGCCACTATCTCTGTAGCTACTTCCTTTAAAACCTTAGGATGGTATCCATCAGGTCCAAGTGGCCTTTTGCCCACTAGTTTCTCAAATGCTTTTTCTCTAGTGATAGTTATTGCTTTATTTCCTCCTCCTTAAGCCCCTTGATTATTTACTATTCTTGGAATGTTATTAGTGTCCTTTACCACAAGACTGGTGCATTTCCTGGTTTACCCATAAGTATTTCCTGGCCTCGTTCTCTAAATGGGCCTATGTTCAGATTGACTTCTGTCTTCCTTTTCATATATTTAGAGAAATTCTTGCTGTCCATTTATAAATTACTTACTAGTTTGTCTTCATACTTTACTTCCTGTCTTTTTTTTGGTTATCTTCTGTTGGCTTTTAAACCTTCCCAATCTCTGGTTTACCACTATTATTTGCATATTGTATTTTTTTCTTCAATTTGATACTATCCTTAACTTCCTTGGTTAGCCATGGTCAGTATATTCACTTCCCATTGTCATTCTTCCTCACTGGGATATATCTTCTCATCAAATATTTTCTTAAATATCCTCAACATTTTTGTTTTGTCTAGATCTCTTTCCCAGTCCACTCTACCCAACTCTACCCTCATCCCTATTTAAGTACCCCTACCCTTATTTAATTTTAGCATACCTGTTTCTGACCCAAGTTTCTCACTCACAAACTGAAAGCTAAATTCCACTATATTATCATTGTTATCTCTAAGAGATCTTTTACTGTGAGATTATTTATTAAACCTGAACATTAAACATTACCGGATCCAAAATAGCCTGCTCCCTGTTTGGATCCACAATATATTGATTCAGGAAATTGTCCCAAATGTACTATATGAATTTTCCCTTGTGGATATCCTGCCAATTTGATTATCCCAGCATATGTTAAGATTAAAGTAATCTATGATTAATGTACTGCCTTTTTAACATGCCCTCTTTATCTTCTGATTTATTCTCTGTCCTATACAATAGATCCTTTTAGGAGACCTATAGACTACTCCCACCAGTGTATTCATACACGTGTAATTTCTTACCTTAATCCATATTGATTCTGCATCATCCAATCCTGAATCCTGAATCCTACATCTTAGAAGTAGATTGTTGACCTTACACTTTAATGTTTAAGGATGCTCCAAAGCTGAGGTTTAGTTTCCTTAACCTACCATTTATAGCAACATAAAAGCAAGACAAAGTGAAGATGAGTGCTGATAGACAAAGTATGAAACCTAAAGAGTGCATTGTCGATCAAAAGGCCATTTTAAAATAAACCTGTAGGCTGATAAGGCTGTAAACAGATTAGGTGCATTCAAATCTATCATGATGTTTGAAGAGAGACTCTATCAGTGTCATGTTAATCATTTGCTTGGAAGCGGAAATCTGAATAAATGGGGAGCATGGTAAACCTCCAAATACCCTCTACAGTCCAAAGCAAAAGTCAGAAATAAAGTGAAAGTCATAAAAAAATTGAAAATGAATCTTGCCAGCCTGAGAAATTTGGGAGAATCAAATGAGGAGTTAAGCAATGCCTTTCCCAACATCAAGACCAACAAGTTGCATTTTTCAACTAAGTTCTGGATGTTGAGAAGGCTTTCTCACTTGTGAGCAATGAGAAGCCCATTAGTGAGGAATAGTGTCCACTGTCACCCTCATTATTACTTAAT